GCCTCGGAGGGCTGTTCCCGCAGGAAGAGTCTGTGTAGCCAGGTACCGCCTCGCTCTGCAATGCAAAGCCAGATGCTCAAACCTTGACATTGCCTGAAGGCTTACGGAGGCTGCTGCAGGAATTAAACGCCTGGCCACAGAGGCAGGATGTGCCCCTGTGTGTGGTTAGCGTGGGTGGGAATGTGGAGCAGGAACTAAGGGTGTCCTAGAGACACAACTCAGTGCTCCAAGGGAGCAGTCACGCTTGTAGGAGCAGGCTAGCAATAGCTGCAGCAGAGTCAGTCCCGCCAAGGGCAAGGAAACTGTCAGATTTGGCTTTAGTCACTGAAGGCCCTTTTTGCCCATCTGCCCCCCAGAAGATGATCAGAAGCAGGGTTTTTTTTTTTTTTTTTTTTTTAAGAAACTGCAAACCTGTAGTCAGAGAAAGTTGAGATGGCAGGAAAGAAAAACAGGTGCCTTAATTTCAGGATGCAGTTTGCCTGAACCTGCTCTGAACTTTGTGAATCCAGGACACCTGACATCGTACTCATTTACAGTATGTTTATTTCTCAGTGCATTACATGAAAGGTCTTTGGTATTTGTGGGTTCTTGAATACTGTTCCCACTCTGCTCTGTAAGAAAATGCTGAATACAAAACATTCCATATACAGTAACAAAACCCCATAGCAAATAAAGAGAAATAGATATTTTGAACAATAACATAGCAATATGGCAACAGGTAAGTAACCATGCAAGAGGTGGAACAAACAGGGTGTGTTTACAACAAACATTAGAGCCTGCCATCAATGAGTTCATCGTGTCAGATGAGATGTATTCTTGCTCTAAAAATTCTCAGAAATTGCACGTGATTGCAAGATACTGCGTATGGCTGCCCTATAGAAGACCAAATGGTTGTAAAGCTTTATTACAATGAGAGAAGCTGGGACCATTTGCACACATACAAACCACACTGATATAAATAAAAAAAATACTGAGTAAAATAACTAGTGAAAAAGTTAACATTTCCTTCAATGGATGGGAATGTGCTTTGTGGACAGTTATAGCACCTTTGAATTGCTTGGTTTCAACGGAATCACAGAAACAGTGAGTAGTTTAAACCCCTATTCCCACCAAACACCGGAATGGAATGTAACCTTAAATAAGACAAGAGGCTGTAAATGTGGAAGAGAACGGATTTCCAATTAACTGCCTGGAGCAGTAATTCCAGAAGCTGATTGTCCTTTAGCAGCCTTTGTCACAGTGGTCAGGTTCCTACACTAAAACAGTTCATTGCAGCGCCTCAGATTGAACCCCAGTCGCAGAGCCAGACTCTCAGAGAGCCGCTTGTGAGCCGTACGCTCCACTGAAAGCAGCACTGCTCTGTGCTGGCTGGAGAGCTGGATCTGATTTTATGGCCTGTTCCTACAGAAGTTGATGGCAAAATTCCTTTGAAGTTTGGTGGGAGCAGGTGAGGGCTCTTCGTTCTAGTTTGTTCCTATTTCCCTGGGTTGCTATCAATTCTTTACAGTAAGTGCAAATTAGATACTCTGGAGAGAAGCATCCTCTGCCTCCCAGGAGTACCAGCTTGCCTGTGAACATGAGGGTGCGTGAACTGCAAAGATTTCCAGTTGTGCAATGTGCTGCTGCTGCTTCTGGTTAGCTCAAGGCAAGGAAAATGCATTACTGCTACCAGAACAGATCCAAGTCAAAAACAAATCGGAGCTCAAAGAAACATTAAGAATATCATAAAAGTCTTAAAAAAAAAAAAAAAAAAAAAAGGAAAAGAACACGCTATGGTATTGCACAGTATGCATGTAGGATATAGCGCTAAACATTTCAATTACAATATATTTCTAAGTGAGCGGGCATTCAAAATAAATCCCCTCTCTCTTACATAGACATGGCAAGATGCATTATATGCCCTGGCTAAAATGACTCTCAGTATCCTGCCTAAGATGGAAAATGTGGTTGGAGTGGTTTGCTTAGTCATGAATATCATTAATGTCAGCATGTGAGACTGTTTTCACCTTTAAAACGTAATTAAACTGGGACTGCACAAGTGTGGTCCAACCCGTGTGTCAGCAGAGAGGAATGAAACCCCAGCGGAGAGAGAAAGTCCATTTGGTATAACCCTGCTGTCCCCCAAATTAAAGATACAGTACCGCACAGGAGAGAGATGTAGCTAAATAAAATAGAAGTGTGGGGAGAAGAGAAAAAAAAAATACATAGCTCATACAGAAGTCTGGAAAAGTCAATAATTAAAACAGTTGCAACCCAAACCCAACCAGTCTTTTGATAATAGACTTGGCAGGATTCATTGCAAACAACTCCCATTATATTTCCTTTCATCTTGACAGTAATTTGTTTTAAATAATTTTAAATCCAAAATCTTAGCCAATATGAATGACTTGAAGAGAGTACTCATCAAGCTAATGCAGTAGCTTTGAATTCAGGAAGACTAACTTGGAGGAAGAAAAATTTCTCCTCCAATTCAGTGTGAACGCTCCAAAATGTCAAGGAAGTGAAAACAGCCCAATTGTGCTCCCTCTTCTCCAAATTCAACCCCGTAGCTACAGGACCAGTGAAACCAAATTTTGCCATTTCCCTTTTTAAAGATTGCTTTGGTTTAGTTCAGTTTAGTTCCTGAAACTGCCATGAGGAAACTTCCCTACTGCAGACAGTGACTCCCGCTAGCACCAGCCTGCCCAGCGTACACGCTTAGCCTGAACTGGGATTTCTCCTCTTCAGGGTCTGATTTCCCAACACCTACTGCCAGGGGTAAGGGGTTATCTCCTGCAGCCACCAGCTCTGTCTTGTAATGGCCACGAGACCAAGACAGTCCCTGTTCAACAGCGAGGTAATCGAGTCCTCCTCAGTTCCCACACGGTAATCAGCCTGGAAATGAGGAAACTTTTTTTTTCACATTTAATTCTTAAATGGAAAGATTATTCCAAGAGTATATCAGAACAGAGGGACATGAGCTGCTGTACAGCACTGCAGTCATTCACTAAATGTTGAAAAGCTGTTTGTGTTTGTGACTGGTTTTAGGCCAAGAGCTGATTGCCAGCTTTCTTGAAGACATTGATTTAATTCAGCATCATTTATATACGTGCTGTCATAGAGTGAGCGCTGGATTAAGAGTTAGTGCTGGGTTTAAAACTCGGATGCATTCAAGAGACTTTATTTCAGCCTGAACCCAGGCTGCTGATGATTTAGCTGCGCAGCAGTAAAGAGCTTCTGTGGGAGGACAAATTTCTGGTGCTCGCTCAGCATTAACTTACACCATTTCCCCTGTTTTGAGAAGGGTGGTTGGATTTCTAAGGAACAGGGCCAGATGAAGACAATGACATTAGTCACCCTGAAGTAGCCTGTAACCTGTTCATTTCTGCAAATATACTGCTCTTCAGGGGAAAGGTTTGGATGTTCTGGTGTCTCTGTAGTTCTACAATGTTTACTACCTCTATGGAAAGTTAATGTGTGGCTACTGTGGGGCTGGCAGAGCTCCCTCATTTTAATCCTCATTTCCAGTGTTCCACATGCTTCTGGATTTGCCTTAGGAAGATCACGTTGGGTGACAAGGGTTGCTGAATACATGGACCACACAGTTGGTCTTTGCAACAGCTTTTGGCAGAAATATCGTAGCAGTACAGTTTGCCTTTTTTAGCTGTATCTTGCGCTAAGAACCAGACAGAATGTGACCAATTTACCTGACTTAAGGCATAAAAAGACAAACAAAAACTCAATTTGCTCACTCTCTCTTGACGTGGGCTGAATTTGGAAACTGTCAGAACAGGGTGGGGTGGGAATGAAAAAAAAAATTATTACCATCAGTTCTGTTGATGAGTCTCACCCTTTCTATCAGAAATCACTGTCTACATGAATGACATCAACTTGTCTGATTTGGTTTGCACAGCAGGTGTAGTGATTCATTTGTCACTGAAGGGCAGGTTCAACTTCTTAACCCTGGAGCTGGGACTTCCCCCAAAATAACAAGTTATTGCAAAAAGTAAAATGACTTTGTATTTAACTCCCAGTGTAAGATAAGCTCTTAACAAGACTCTAATTCCTTAGGCTGTGGTTTGCTACTGCACCGTCTCCATATTCAAAGGGCAAGGATTTACTCACAAGATAAAAACGAAACAGTGTGAAAACATCTTTCCTTATTGATGTAGGATTAAAAAACTATTGCAAAATATCATTTTCTGTGAATAGTTATTGCTACTACTTAATTATCTCTGGATATATGCACAGGCTGAACACAAGATGGGACAACTCTTGCACCATTCCATCATCTTATACAAACTGCTCTATATTTTCACTGAAACAGTCTAATCTCTCTGAAGATAGATAGAAAGTCAATGTTGCAATGAATATTTGCGTCAACAGTCCTTGCTTAGCCAACCATGAATAGAAATAGTGCCACTCACATGCAATTAGCAACATGAAAAGCCAAGATTTTGATGCTGAAGCCCAAAGAGTAACCTGAACTTTCAGAGTAACAGTTTTAAACGTTCTTTGAATTTTCCAATTTGTTCTTTGCTTAAAAGAAATCCTTGCAGTTCATGATTTAATTCTGGAAGTCAGCATCACACCACCACATGAAATAAAAGCTGATGCCACCAACTCTACCAATGGACAAGGCTAAGGCTTGGCTTTGTGTCTGGATGGGACTGATTGTCTCAGCTAGTTAAGCAGTGCTTTAACCGAGTAACTTTCAAGGGCAGTGAGAAAACAAAGGGAGGATTAAACTCTTGAGAAACAGTCAGGAGGTGTCATGCTTCTGAGGATACCTGCCATCTGGTATTCCAAAGGCAAAACAACAAAACCAAGAAAAATGATCAGAAGACCCTCTCTGAGCTATGGATAAGCCATTCCCTGCAATAAGGGTGGAGCATTGGCCAGGTGAGGAAACCCAGCTGCCAACACTGCAGCCTCCTACCCACTTCATTTGCACTCTGCAATTAAGCACTGGGATACTGTATCTTTAACTGGTGAAAAGCGTGGAGAACACACAGATGCCCCTACTTCATCCGATTGCTTCTCCTTTTGGCTTCACTGTCATCCAGCAGTGAAGAGAGGATCTGGTAGGCCTGCGGCTGCTGGGGTCCTCCACGCTTGATCTTGATGCTGGTTCGCAGAGGGGAGCCCGGGATCACATCTTGTCCAGAGCCTGGCTCAATGGAAGACAAAGAGTCTGTAAGGAGAGAAAGTCACGGGAGAGCGCTATTTAAAAGGGGAGGCTAAGGAAAGGGTAAACGGGCCCTTCTGAATGATGTCGCTTCTGGAAGAGGTGTCAGCCCTCCTGTTGGCTTTCCATCCAGCAAGCAGGTCCTGGAGCTACGTGTTTGCTGCTATCACTCTACTCCAATATTAGGTCTTTTCCCTCTGCTCTCTCGCAACTTTTTGGTGTAGGTGCTCTTACTGCACATAGCTCAGCAGGTCCTATTCCCCTTTGTAATTCTGTTTATAAAGCACTGTTCTTTTACTGGTTATAATTTTGGTGGGCTACAGCTGCTATTCAGCACTGCCCACAGACTTCTGCTACTGAGGGATGAGTCGCTGGGAAGTGATGCTCCTGGGGGTGTAAGTACCATGTCACTCCTTGTAAAGGAGGAAGTTTGGAGGCACTGAAAAGGTTGAATGAAAGGACTGATCCACCCTCGGCTACAGCCAAACTAGCAGTAAAGCTGGAAATAACTGTTAGCTGTCCACGCTCCCAGCACGTCTCGCGGTAACACACACCTCCTCTTCCTGCTGCGCCTGCCCTACAAAGCTCAATGGACTACGGCCACTCTTCTGTTTTCCCAGCAGTCAGCAACAGCTGCTGATAACTCAAGGCTCCTTCATAATTTTTAATGCCCCAGTTTCTTCTTCCTTTTGCCTTCAGAGATGGACGTTTGCTTGTTTCTCTGCCAAGAGCCTAACCTCACCAGCCAGACACCCAGCCGTGCTTCGGTCCCACGAGGAAGCATTTCTGTTTCAAGTGAGCGTTTGGCTGCTGGAAGATTTGTGCTGTGTTCACTGGAAGTAAAGACTGCCAAACAGTTTGGGCTTTCGTGTGTCCTGCTGGGCTCTCTCTGCAGGCTGCTAGGCCAGATCATCTCAGACTGCCCTCCCGCCCCAGAGAAGAGGTTTGTTTGCTGGTATGTTTTGCCTTGTTGCTTGGGTGGCTGTGGTTTTGGAAACCACACTGATTGTGAAGTTTCTTGGGAAAATCAGAGCATGCGATTGGCATTTCTGCGTGGGTCTTTAAAACTGGGCTGAGCTGGGCTGCCCAGAAACCTGTGGTCAGACCCTTACACCTACGGTGGCAACAGGACCAGATAGTTGGGGCTGGGTGATTTAAACCTGTGTGGTGCCTTTCAGCACAGGGAGGTCTGAGCTCAAGGAAATTCTGTTTTGTTATTTTATGTCTTTTTCTGATAGTGGTTTTTTTTTTTTTTAACCATATACACATACAGGGATGAACATAATTGCACAAGGAAAAAATGCCTTACTTTCCAAGTTCTCTTTCTAAACAGTATGTTTGCAGGGCCTAAAATATGTCTTAAGTTAAAGAATGGAACCATCTCAAAAGCACAGAGTAAAAACCTAATTCTCTATAGTTATTGGATAAAAAAGGAACTAAAGTCATAGAATATAGGTGTTTAAATATGGCCTTAACTACACAATTAAAAAGACATCCATTTCTGCTGATGCAGCTACACTGATATAAAAGTATATGTGGTATAAATAACTTGTCTCCATCTCAAGCAATAACAGAAAACACATTTATGTCAGTAAAAATGGTTTGCCCAAATGAGTGTTTCAGAATAACAGCACCACGTGCCTTGTTGTTGCTGTATTGCCAAACAGATGATGTAAAAAACAGGTAACCCCGGCAGTTCTGCAGGGGCAGAGCTGCGTGAATCCCCCGGCGCAAGCCTCAGTGTCTGCACAAGCTCCCTGAAGAGCTGACATTTTGCTTTATACTGGTATAAATGAGATAAAAGCTAATGGAGGGCCAGGTGCTGGGTCCTGTAAATACACTGCCCTGTGCTTAGGGACTGGGTTCCCTGTCCCCTCTTTCCCATGGACGGCTGCCCAGGTAACCTAGTGGGCACCTTCCTGCTCCCTCCACCATCTCAAAGCAAAGCAGCATAAAAATATCTCTCCCTGCCCCTGGTCTCTAAAATCCAATGAAAATATGAAGCAAACTAGGATTAATGCAGAGGTAAGGTCAGGGTGACTGTGGTTAAATTGTGGGTTCATGATTCATGATTTCCCGAAAAGCTTAAGCTGTTGCTGCCTGTTGCTTTTGGAAATAGGACTTTGGGCCTCTAAAAGACACACGTCCACTGAGGAGCGGTGCAGACACCCAGCCTGGTTCAGCCACACAGCATAGCACCATGCACCATTTTGGCTTTGAAGTGCCCAACGGCATCTTCATTTTATCTGCTGGCTGCAGAAGGGGCTGATGGGTTCACAGGCAGGGATGGTAGATCCAAACACCATTTTGCCTCTGTTGTGTTTCTGAAAGGGGAGAAATTGGCACAGCAGCTTTTGGCAGCTGTGTGAGAGTTGGTCCTCAGGTACCCCAAAGGGGAAGTCTGATCTGTGACGATTGCAGAAGCAATCTGGTCAAGGGAAGAAAACACTCACTAAGGGATGATGCCACACATGGTACCAGTGATGGCAAACAGCCTCAACAGGAAACTCAAAGTCTATCTGAACAAAGAACATGTGAGACTTTCTTTAAATCTGGTTGTGAAAATGGGTTTTATGTGAGTTATAATCACAAGATGTTCAGGGATCGCTGGTTTTCAGGTTAACGCAGCACTGTCTGGGCTGTCTCTGTACAATACAGTGCTACACACAAGGCATGGGCCCCAGTGGTGGTAAAGTCCCTTGGAAACCATTATTAACAGGATTAAACGATCCCGCCTAAAGACTGGAACAAGCATCTCACTGGGAAGCTGGTAGATGATCTGTGCCACATGGCTTGAGCTGCTGCTCGTCGCTTGGCTTTCTGAACTGTAATTATCATGGAGGTAATTCCACCTGCTACTGTGAAGCCAGGGTAAGCAGTACAGCTGGTGGAAGCTCTAGGTCCTCAACAGTTCTGAGCATCCTTTAAGTCACCTTGGGTACCTAGTTTTGAAAACCTGGCTTTAACTGATACTAGACAGAGAGCTTAGGAGACTGGGAGGACGTTTAACCATCAAGCAGCTGCCTGAACAGAGTCCCTGGCTGTCTAGAAAAGAAAACCTTAGTGACGCTTACCGTGAATTCCTATCATGTGCTCCAGAATTAATACTCTCTCAGCTAAAATCTTCAGAGCTTCTCGAAGCTGTTGAACACCTTCCCCCTGCAAGAAGGAAAAGAACACTAACATTGGTATACGTCGCAGAATAGGCATCTTGTTCATAACGTTGCCTCTGTAATGCCACACTATGCTGTGTGAGCCTTTGAAAAATAAAAGATGTAAAAGGGGAGATAAGCTGCGAGGGTTAAGTAGGAATGCAGGAGAAATCCCTATTTAAAGAAAAACTCCTCGGTTACTCCCCATGTTTGCGGAGCCTCTGACCCAAGGCCAAGCCTTTCAGTTTGGTTCCTGCTTCTGCAGTGGGCCAAACCCAGGGTGTATGTTCCTGTCAGACCTTTGTAATGTACAGTTTACGTTAATAACTATGCTGAGCTACCTGGAGAACAGGTTTTGCTCTCATCTGACATTTACTCTGAATCCCAGTGAGTTACCTGGGCTTTCCCTTTGTCGGTACACCAGGAAACTGGCTAGCACCGTCTTGTTGCTCCCTTATAAACTGGAACAAGGGTGTGCAAGCCCATGTGCTTCATGCTGCCTCTCACAGAGCTCCTGGCTGGGCCACATCCTGCCTGAAGCCTGTCCACACACTTTCACAGACACTAAAGCTGTAGTTTGTTGCCCCCATTGTCTTAGATATGGGCTTGAAGGGACAGACAGGTGTTGGGAAGTATTTTAGGGCGGGAGAGCAGAGATGTGAGAACTCCCACTCTCTCTGCACATGCAGCTCCATCTCTTCTGGGAGTCTGTCCCTGAGCTTGCCGGAGGGACGGTGGGGGAGTAACTCCCTACACTGCAGCAGCTCTGTGTGGCGGAACACCACTGGGGACTGAGGAGGTGTTCATAGAGCACGGTGAGAAGGGCAGCGTGGTCAAGGAAACTGCAAGGACCAGGATTTCTAGCATGGATTAAGTTCAAACCCAAGGTTCACATCCTCTCTTGCTCTGCACTTTTAACTGTGGATGAGACCCTTGCCCTCGACAAACCAGCCTGCCAAAGGCAATAAGGTTGAAGCACTGTAAAGAGACAAAAAGGAAAGTAAAACTACAGCAGAAATACAAGCTTACGTCAGCGCCTTTATCACCTTCCTCACCCTTCTTGCCTGGTTCACCCTAAAACAGAGAAGAAACAGAAATTTGTTTTCATGTGACTGAGGACACCATCCAGGATCACCTGCATCCCTTCCCTCCAAAGGAACAGATTAAAGGCAGAAGTGTTTCACCAGCAGAAAACTAACTGACTCTCTGGCACTTCACGCCAAGGGCCAGAGTGCTCTCATGAGCTCTGTCTGGGCTCACACCAGCCTCCCAGAAGGTCATCATACTGATGAACTTGGCCGGGAGTGACCAAGCTGCAGGCGGGGCTGGCTGCCATGGCCTGGGTCTGGAACAAGACTGTATACATCTCATGAAGCTCCCAATGAGCAATGCTTTAGGCTAAAACACTGAGATAAAAATACTGCTCCCCTCCCCCAAACATGCACGTGTTCGTCTTTGATGTAGAACATAAAATCCTCCATTCTACTTTCGTTAATTAGTCATATCACTTTCTGCCTCTGAAGATGCTCATTAAGCTTTTCTTGAACAAAGATCCCTATGTGCTGTGAACATGGGTCTGATGTTCCCCTCTCAACCAGGAAGTTCATGCATTTCCCAAAGAACAGATGACATGGAGAGATTAAACCACAAGCTGAACATAAAACAAAGCTAACAAAATTGTGAATAAAATAGAGTGGAAATGCCTGGGCTCCTCAAACTTGTTGGACATCCCCAAGATACTTGCAAAACAGGGCTGGGTGTGAGAGGAAGGACTGAAGAAAAAGGTTGTGTGAATCGTACAAAATGGTGAGGTGGAATTAAGGAAGAGAGAAGAGAAACCTCCCAGAGCACCAAGAACCAAACTGATGCTGCCAGCCGAAAAAACCCCAATTTGCTCCCCTAGCTCCCTTTCAGCCAACCCTCATCTCCACTGGTTTGTTTGCACCCTAGCCTCTGTGCCAGTGCAGACATCTCCTGCGCACATCTGTTCAGGTATTGCCCAGAAATCATCTGGAGACATCTCTTAATCTCGTTACAGGGTTTCCAGCTCAGCTTGGCTGACCAAGGTGCAAGAGGGACTTGAGAGCAGCTGAGGTCCTTTGGGTTGTTTAACAGCCTTTGGGCGCTGGTCACGCTGGGAACCTCAGGGGGCAAGGAGGGGGCTTCTGTCTGGCAAGGTTTAGCTAGAGGGGATGTGCAAGCAAAGCCCATCTCCTCTGCTGGCGTGACGCCTTCCTGATCACGGCATTTCAGCACTATGCTTAACACGCAGGAAGACTGTTTCATTTGCAGAGGGACACATTAAGGTGAGGTTGTCTATTAAACCAGTGTCTGAGCTGGAGACATTGGACCGAAGCATGACACCTCAGCGAGCCGGCTGAACCAGCTGCAGTCCAGCCAGGAGGTATTTAGGGTGCCAGGTAGGCACCAAACCCATCGGAGTCTTGCACACACCCGCAAGTACATCACTTACAGGAAGTCCCTTAATGCCCCTCTCTCCAGTCAGACCTGCTTGCCCCTGTTGGAAATAAAGTAAGTGTCATTAGGAGATACTCTTCCATTTGACAAGAACATAGTGTAATTTTTACTAGTGGAATTAAGATGGCTTAATGAAAAACCTTACACTTGGGATAATATGAAAAAAAAAAATTCCTCTCCCTTGACATTATCACTTGGAGACAGCAAAAGGGGGTCACGGTTTTCTGTCAAGTATCAGCTCCAAATCCCATCGCGCTTTGGAGAAGTTTGGTTTGATACAGAGCTGCTCAGCTCAGTACCCTCTCAGTAAGACGATTAGCAAGTTTTTGAACTTTACAGCAGTCAGTTACATTATACCAGCAAGGAATTTGGCTGGAGATTTGTTTCTTACAAAGACAGCGCATTCTTCTCTCTAGTAACACTGATGGGCTGATGCTGCCCCAGACAGCAAACACTGCCCGAGTCTCCCACAGAGCACAGATTTAATCTGCCTCCCGCTCCGCACACACATCCCCACCTTAACCCCCACAGCTACTGATCAAAACACACATATATCTTGGTTGGTTTGTTTCTTTTTGCTGCTGAGATAATTTTCACATTGTTCTCAGCAGGGTTTTTTTCTTTTGGGGCTGATGCTGCCCCAGACAGCAAACACTGCCCGAGTCTCCCACAGAGCACAGATTTAATCTGCCTCCCGCTCCGCACACACATCCCCACCTTAACCCCCACAGCTACTGATCAAAACACACATATATCTTGGTTGGTTTGTTTCTTTTGGCTGCTGAGATAATTTTCACATTGTTCTCAGCAGGGTTTTTCTCTTTTGTTTTTAAACAGGAACATTTTGAAATGGTACATGTCGGTTTGGGGCAGAATGAAATGCCATGGAACTGAGCACCCTTTTTTCCCCCCCAGTTTTCCTCCACAGTGTCTGTTTCCCACCCTGGAGCACGCTGGGGCAGGACAGAATCCCTGACCAGGAGAACAGTTATAGATTATTTTAGGAGAAAGCAGGACCTGGGGAAGAGGAAGCAAACTTTAAAAGCATCTTTACAAATCCACTGAAGAAACAACCACATATTTAACCTGGCTCTTCTCCCCTAGACATACACAGAAACAAACCCATCCTTTTTTCCCCCCAAAAAACTACCTAGCTGGTGACAGCTTTTGTAGTATTTGGCAGAAAGGAGAGCTGCTTTGTTATTGTGTCCATCAAACCACTGCTTTGTATTGCCTTGGGCACCCAATACACATTACTACAGCGAGCTGCGCAGTGCTCGGTGAGCAGCTGGCCAGCACGAGACAAAGGCCGGCATCGCCGCGAAGAGCGCTGGGAGGAAGGCCTGGTTTGCCAGGTGCTCCGAGCACCTTCCGAGGGCAACACCCGGTTCTGCGCTGGAGGAGCAATGCCTGTGAAACTGCACAGGGAAGCGGCAAATCACGGAGAGGAGACACAGCAACGCACTCAAAATGCACAAACAGACTGTTCTCTGTGTCCAGGGGGAAGAGGAAAGGATGTTATCAGCTTAATGGGGATCAAAGGATACTTAGGCTGGATGTTAGAAATATCTTTCATCCCAGCCCTCACTAGCTGTACCTCTGAAGAGCGCCTGGAGACGACGTGCTGCATCCCTCACTGGCACTGAGTAAGGATAAGATGAACAGAGGCTGAGTGTGAGCAGCACACACATAGATGTGCCATCCAGGGGATGTGCTCAGCCTGCTTCAGGTCTCTTGTGCGTCTGTTCTCTCTGAGATTAAGCAGGAAGAATGTAAAATAACATTTTCTCAAATCTCAATAGATATTGTAAACCCTCCTCTGCTTTTCTTTGCAGCTGCACAGCTCCTCTGCTCTGTGTAAAGCTAGCCCTAATTTGTAGCCAACAAACCCAAAATTGCAGCATGAAGTTGTCAAAACCAGCATTCAAATCCACACTCACGAAAGACAAAAAGCATACAGAATGTCCTACAGAAATTCTGCCAGAAAAAGCTATTGGCTTCGCTTGCCACGCTAACAGAGGAAGGACAGGAAATAGAATTTATTTTTTCCATTTAGCAAGATGTTCAGATATTTGAAAATCTCATTTGTCCCAAACCTAGAAGGAGAGTTACAATTCTGAATATCTAACAAGGGGGGAACAAAATCAAAGCCTGAAAGATTTGTCTGTACTGAACAGACACAGTGCAACAAAGCTTTTGTTTCAAAACAAGTGTACTCTTAGCAATATGGTCAACCCCAAACTAAAGCAGAATCTTAAATGAATCATTGAGGAAGAGCTCTTATCAGTTTCCTGGATGGAAACTTGACATTTTGCCTTAACTGAAAATTAACATTTAACGGCAATGAGCTGTAGTCGGTAACCTGTGCTGAAATCTCGCCAGTTAAGGTTTTGATCTCTGTCAAAATCTTAAATTCTAGTCCCAGAAGTACATCAGTCTCTAATCTATTAGTAAAGCCAATACACGCCCAAAGTGACTGATCCGCACAAGGAAACTGTTACTACAAAATTACTAACAGCCATTTAAATGGTGATTTCTTATGTAAGAACAGGGACCAAGCACCCAAAACAATGTGCAAAGATACTTAAACAAAACGGAGCTTTTCCAAAGCACATGTGCTCCATCCTCACGTATCCCCTGCTCCTTGGCGTGAAGTGCCTCGGGAGGGGGTGAAACAAGCCACCTGCACTTGCTCTCCTTGCACACTGTCTGGACAGAGGAACATAGTTTAAGGCCATTGCTGGTTATTCTCATAAATTTGGGAAATCATCAAATTGGAGTTAATCAATTTGTATTTCTCTGTCTTTGCTGTTTCAGACATTCCTCTGTCCTCTGGATTGGAATAAGAAGAGATGCCCTCATACAGGGAAGCACAGAATCTACAGCCACCCATGTACCGATGCTGACCTCCACGTTCACCTCCATCTGTGTGGCAGTAAAGTGGCAATTGGAAGAAAAGGAAACCTTTTTCCTACATCTGTTGCACAAGGCTGTGTCAATGCAGCCACCGCTGCAGACGTCCATCATTTTAGAGGTACCAACCAGTATTCTTCTCCTTATCTTTCTTCCTTTCTTTGACTCTGCCCCACTGTAGGGTCTTAGTGATTGTCCACAGTCCATCTGTGCCCACTGCTACATTTTGCAGATCTAATTGCTGAACGGTCCTACACCACATACTACATCCTCAAATGATTTTGTGCTCCTAGTGTCTCCCAGAGGAGATTTCAAAGACCATGGCCTTTTGGAGAGTAGGCTGAACAGAAGCAGCTGAAAGCCCAAATGCCACTTTGAAGCCCTTCCTGGTGCTTGAATGCTGGACTGGGAATCTGACATGTTTATATCCTTGTTAGATTTTTCTCTATTATTTCCTAAACTTCACCAGCTTGGAAAAAAACCTTCAAACAGTCTTTCTTTCTATACTTAGTTATTAGCACTTGACAACCCATCAAGGACTGAAGTATAGCATGTAAACATAATAAGAACATAATTTCATTATTCCAAATATATTAAGAACATCATTTGACCTGGGGAATGACTTTGGTTCAGGAAAAGTCTGATGAGCTTTTACTGCCTTATTGCTACAGAAGGAAGAGTTCGGTTAGATCATTTGAAATGCTCCACACCAAAGAGCTTTGGTTGTCAGAAGAAATCTGGTCTCCACCAGCCTTTATATCCCATGTATTTGTCAGCTGAATCTCTTTAGGAAAAACCAGATTTGCAAGCAATTGATCGCTTTATCTGTACAGTAAACCATCATCTTGGTTCTTCCAGAAGACCTAGAATTTAATTTTTTCTGTGGCTGTAGTCCCATAGAATTTGACCTATTGTATATAATTTCCAAGGCACCCTCCCAGATCTTGCTGGGAATCTCTCTGGGTATGTAAAACCTTACTCTCTCTCCTCGGTCTCCTTTGGAACCTTTTGGCCCAGGTTGTCCTGGAGAGCCCGGTAAGCCCTAGAAGAGATGCAGAACAAGAAGAAATCAATTTTTACAGCACATCCTTTGAGTAGGTGTAATAAATGTATTTCCCAGTGATCCTCAGCTCCTGAAAACCTTATATACCGATTAAGCAACTGGGCTGGATTCTCTATTTTACCCTCAAGCAACAACAATGGAAGCTCTGTTTGCAAATGTCCTGAGCCCTTTAGTTTCTGCATATCCCTCTATTTGGGTCTTTTACTGCACAGCAGCCTACTCATGTAACATTTTTTAAGGGGTCAATATGACAGCATAGTTCTTGTTCTCAGTTACCAAGAAGAAATTAATACACCAATAGTATGGTTAAAAATCCCCACTACTTTCCCCCTCTTCATAATTGCCTCAGTAGGTGGTATGAGTAAGCGTACATACCTGAAAATTAATTGGATTGTGCAGTGGAAATTATTTTGAAGCTACTCACTCACCCTAATAAACAATTTTCAAATTAAGCCCAATCTCTGCTAATAATTTTACTCCCTGGGCTGAATAAATCTATAAAGCAGTCACCAACGGATAAGAAGGGCACAGTCTCCAGATCTCTACAAATGGAACTGCTTTGTAGAAAATCAATCCAAATTCTAAACTTACCCACCCAGTGAAGCCACAGCTATAAACCAGACAGGGAGAGAACAAGATTGTTTGTTTATATTCAGCATGTCAGCTTCCCGGCTCCCCACGACCATATGCAAGATGCTTTTTTCCACCTCAGGTGACTTGCACATCACCTTGGAGACTGCAGCAGATGAGACTACCGCTCCACTCCAGGCTGCTGGGGATTTAAGCCAATCTGCTTAACAACAGCCCCCCAAAACCACTGCCCTGCAGCCTCCAGAGAAATGGGCTTCCCAGGCAGAGTTGCAAGGAGCCTCAGTGTCCAGTTAGGTGGCCCAACAAGACTGGGCGTGAGAGTTTTAAGGGTCTAAGGGCAGAACTCTCTCCCAGTTTCAGCAGGGAGGCAGCAATGCTCACCATTAACACAGTGCTCCTTCCTGCAGTCAGCCCACAGCTCACCACCACCCCGCACCCTGACCCAGCCTCCAGCTTAGCTACGGCTCCCCTGGGCCCACGAAAGATTCAGCAACTCAGGCCTGGTTTAGGAGGTTAACTAGGGCTGCCAGATGAGGTAGGGCACAAACCAGACTTGGCCCTAGGTCAAACAGGCAGCACGAACAAGGCTCAGGTGTCCCTACGCACCCTTTGCTCTTGACAGCTCTCAACAGTGACTTCCAGTGTGCCACTACACGGGGGCACTCAAGAACCCAGAATTCCACAAATCTGTTGTAAAAAATTAAAGATTTATAAAGCGTGCTGCATGTGAAAAAGCCAGACTCTGCTGCAGAGCCTATTTATGAACTGTGAATTACCTTCTATTTAATCACGTTAAACTGCATCTGTCATTTTGCTGCCAAATTTCCCGCTGTGTTCGTATCTGTCTGGAGTTCCTCAGCGTTCTCCAGAGCATTTGCTAATTGAAATGATTCTGCTACACTGGCAAACTTTCACTAACCTGCTGTCCATTGCTTCTTCAAACTGGTCCATAAATACACACTAAAAATCTCCTTTCCCTAATATCTAGCAATTCCAAACCTCCTCTTGTCAGGTTCTAAGTTACATCCCTTTGCTAAGCTACTTAACCTTTCTCTCTCTGTGCTCTTCAGTCACTTTCATCCTTTTAGTCATGTGAGATTCCTTTGAAATATTTGATGTTACTGGTTTACCTCCACATTAAGTAATACTCTTCCCAAAACCGGAGTCCCTTTGTATCAGCCAACCACAATTTTGAGTAGTTTGGCAGTTAGCTGTTCATCATGACTTCACTTCTTTCCCTTTAACCATTTTTTTCCATCCATGTGAGTACTTTGCCCTTCTCCTATCATAAATTCTTCTGAGTGAGTTATCACACTCCATTATGATGTCCCCCCTCCACAATTTCTGTATCGATAAATAATCAAGCTGATGGGAAATTGTGATATTTTTCTTGAATAGAAAGTGCTATTTCTCAAAAGCTAGGCTTAGCAAATTCACTTTGGTGAGTTGGTGAATTCCCATTGATGCATTTTTGTTCTTTTTATGTATTCCACAGGAAATAGAGTATTTTTGTATCACTGTGTTAGTAAAGCCCATGTCAAATCCTTTGCATCAACTCAGGCCACGGTAAAATGTTTTGACACAGCAAGAGCAAGATATGTTGTTACAATTTAAGGGAAAATCTGGAAAGCACAAACTTTTAAACCTCTCATCACAAGTCAGAATGAAAATAAGGTACTAAAATCACAGATTTCATGGGGAACAAAACATCAGATCCAAGACTTATAAAGTACTCTCCCTCCCTGTGCAATGAGAAGGTGTTTAGCCCCTAAGCCCCGACTCTGCCCCTCACCCCCAAAGCACCGAAGCACCTTACTTGTGATCCAGGGACTCCGATGGGTCCTGGTGGCCCTTTGGGTCCTGATGCACCTGGTGGCCCTGGTGGGAATCATCATTTGAGACAACGTTAAGGAGACTGAGAAGGAAGGACCCTAGAATCCAAACACATGCGCTTCCTTGCACTGTTTGCTTGGTCTCTCAATGGGTAAGAGCCGTTCCTCTATCACAGCACTACAGCACAAGCACTTTGTCACCCACTGGAATATTGGGTACCCACATCCTGACATAATGTACTCCTGTGCCCTAGGGAAGATGTTAGAGCTCTGGGAGGGAAAAAAAAAAAAAAGGTGAAAATAGGCAGGAAGGATGTCAGTAACATGCTGCATTCCCATTGTTTAAAATTACAACTTTTGAGAAAACTTAAACTAGATCCATGAAACAGCTCCATCAGAGCAAGAAACTGCAGTTGCTGTGTCTGACTCAGAGTCTGACAGGTGGCAAGAGAAGTCCCCAAGCCTGGTATGGGCTGTCTCTCTTGTGTTGTCAGAAAGCTGATGCTGAAGGTGAAGGAGATGGGGTTTGGATGTAGCCAGCCTGTGAGGCTGACCATGGCAAAGCAAAGCTTTCTTTTGTGCTTTGCTCAACCCAGTGGCATGAAATTCTTTTAGAGTCTGTACCGCAGGAGAGGCTGCTTCCAGGACAAGTTAAATGCTGTCTAAACAGGTCAACTTGTTCTACACAGTCACTTAACAGATTCATTCCTTTTCAAAAAATAATTATATCTCAACAGTAGCTGTTCAATTATACCTGCAAATAGGAGACAGGATATTTGCTTAGTGTGAGCTTAGCAATACTCGTCTCTGCTTTAGCTGTCATAACCCTTGAGATGAAACAATGTGGACATTCTACACAAAGTACAGCTGAATCAGCCTCAGTCATTAATGCACCGTACAAATGCTTAAGTCAAAGAATAAAAAGAATTGAAGGATAAATGAAAGGCCCTCCTAATGAAAGGAAAAGCCTTTTCTGCAACTAATGGGAGTTCACTCCTAAATATGCATCATACAGGGAAGTGCTGACGTGTGCAGGAATACGATCAATTAAGCCACCCATCAGCACACAGAAATAGAAGACTTGCCACTGAATTTTCATCCCAGATTCTGATTTCAGGTATACTGGTGAAATTCTGGAATAGCTCAAACCAGCTCCAAAGTCTACAAAGTCTGCATACACATCACCGAGCAGCTGGCCAGATCCTGCTCCGTGGAGCTCTACAGCAACAGGACAGCATTGCAGCAGCGGTGAGAACACCTCTGCTCTCCTAAAGGAATTCACTAGACAACCCACTCACTGTTCCCTTCTTAAGACATGGCCTGACAAAGGTAAAACAATCTGCCACTACGAACAGAAACCTAGATACTTCTCTCCACCCTTCCCACTCCTGGCCCCATGGCTCTACTGCCCTTCAGAGAGGATTACTTGCTTTCCCTGCGGGCATCCCACAGACCACTCCACTCTCCATCAGAAATTTCTTTCCCCATTATTACAGCTTCACAGCTCAACTCTATTTATTACCTGGTGGTCCGATGGGGCCCGGGGCTCCCCGTGGTCCTGGCAGCCCAGCCATGATGGTGTCTATGACGGTGGAGGCCAGCTGGGGTTCTCCATCTGTGCCAAAGAGCAGAGCAGTCAGTGTCCCTGCGGCAGGAGCTGCCCAGGCTCTGCACGCAGGACTTCTCTCCAAAATCCTTTGGCGCCTGTTGCTGGCCAAGGGCAGGCAGTGCTTCAGGATGCAAAATTTGGTCTCAGAGCCCTTTGCTCTCTAAGGGCACAGGCTGCATCCCCCAGAAACCCTCTGAAGAGTCCACATTTTCCACAGCTGGAGGCCACCATGCGGGAATAATGTCCATCTCCTCCTGCCCACAGCCTCAAACTTACTCATGTTTCCTTTCACCCCTGTAACTCAGTAAAGTTCAGGGGAACCCTTTGCAAGGTGTAAAAGACTGAAAACGTCTCACCACTGTGTAACTGTAAATATCAAGCGACAGCAGGAAGATCAGAAGGGTGTTTGCTTACTCTGCAGAGTCCAGCCCAAAGGACATAAGGTGAAATCTCCAGAAATGTTAGAAGACACATTACGGAGCCTTTTCAACTGGACTGTTGGCAATGATAGAGGGGATTTTCAAGCTAGTTGTTTGAAAGCAGTTCCTAGGGGAAACCATGAAATCTCTTTAACTGCCAGGGATGACAGTATATCTCTGCAATGCCTTCCTGGCAGCACAGCAGCCCAAGATCTAACCCAGATCCCTCTGAGAAGCAATTTTTGTGCCCAAAGCCTGAATACAAACAGGTATTTTTTTTTACTATTGTTTCTAACTCCATCCAACTTCCCTTCTTCACAGCCCTGAAACAAAACAACTGAGACTGTTTTCATGTTCAGAAGGAAAGGTACCCAAGTGAAGTGTGTAATCCAATTAATTTGAGTTTTATTTGACCATGTCAAAATCCATCACGGCTTGGGAGTACGATGAAATTGGGAAATGAGCATCGAATAGCAGTGAAGGCATTAACAATTGCAGAGCCTTTTGTTTTTAAAGAAGAAGCGGTCAACAAAATCAAATGCACATCCACAGAAAGGGGAGAGCATGGGCTGCAAACATCCAGGATTTAATTACTGCTGGAGGTAAGCCAGGGATAAAGATTTGGGTTACAAACCATTCCAGCTAAATGTACATTATTACAGCGACAGAGTTACTCCCACAAATCCACCCATCCTGGCATCTGACTCAAAATTGTTTACGAAAGGTGATTCCATAATTGTAACACAAGAGAGCTCTGCTCAACAGCCCTTGAGCTCAGCCCTCCTGATTTGGCCTCTGCAGCACAGGAGTGCGGACATGCAGGAAATCCAGAGTGGTCCTTCCTCAGCTTCCTGGCCAGGCAAAACTCACCCAGATCAAGGTTTCCTTCCAGGACGAGCTCTGAAGGAAACATTGTGAATGAGATGGGGTTGAAGTGTGTTAAACACAGCCCTCGCATTTTTAAGGGACTCTCCATATGCCCATAAAGCAGCAGGAAGAACTCACATCTCATTGTAAAATCCCTTCTCCCTATAAATGGGGGGAATTCTGGGGTCGCTGCAGCTGGAGGTTGTTATAGCGGTCACAGAATAGCTCCAGCAACAAATGGTAGCAGGAATCCTCTCTTCTCAGCCATCTCCTGCACTGACCCAGGCTCTCCTGGGCTCAAGGACTGGATTTTGTTTCAGTGCTTCTGGATATACCGAAGCAGAGGGCAGACAACTGTCCGCCTCATTTGGGAAGACACGATTTGCTCCAGGAGCTTTCCAGCTCCCAGCCAAGCCAAGAGGAACGGCACAAGCAGCCTGACCTGGTCAGATACAAGCACCAAGGAGCTTTCCAGCTCCCAGCCAAGCCAAGAGGAACGGCGCAAGCAGCCTGACCTGGTCAGATACGAGCACCGATGTTCTCTGGCAGAGGGCACAAACGTCCTGCAAAGGGGAAACCTGAAATAGCACAGAACTGTCCTGAACGAGGCAGTGAAACTTGCCCAGGCAGAGCAGCAAGGATGGGTTTCTAAATCAAACGCCATTCCCTTCCCAGCTCCCAGCCAAGCCAAGAGGAACGGCGCAAGCAGCCTGACCTGGTCAGATACGAGCACCGATGTTCTCTGGCAGAGGGCACAAACGTCCTGCAAAGGGGAAACCTGAAATAGCACAGAACTGTCCTGAACGAGGCAGTGAAACTTGCCCAGGCAGAGCAGCAAGGATGGGTTTCTAAATCAAACGCCATTCCCTTCCTCCTCCCCTTCCCCTTTGCTTCCTCTGCTCTGTTCTCTTTCCTCAGGAAGGACTATGCACGGCAGCAGGCGCTGGGATGTCACTTCACAGATCTCTGTTCTATGCTCTTTTTCATCAGTGACCTGCTGGGCACACAGGCAAGCCTCCTGTGCCTCAGTTTCCCCTTGCTGTCCCTGCAAAATGCGTTAATGTTATCTCATGTGTTCTTTGCAAACTGAAATCTTTGAGATGTAAGAAAACAGAGCCCTCCACAGAGTGAACCTTGAGTTCTTTTCTCTTACCTTTCCCTAAAAATTGTCGCAGCTGTAGCACAAGAAACAGGACTGAGCTGACTCCAGCCCGCAGACCCGACCCATTCATTTTCAAGTGGCAGAGAAAGCCAGCGAGCCTGGTCGCAGCAGCCCCAGCAGTGGGGTACGGCAGTTTAGCTTCTGGCCTATGTCTGATGTTTCTGACTGAGGGATAAATTCCTCCATTATAGGCTTGATTTGTTGAGACAGGATGGAAATGAAGTAATCCTGTCTTAATTTCTTTCTGCTACCTGATCTGGAGGGAGACAACTGGGACCAATTTCTTTACCACAGTACAGGGAAACTGTGAGAAAATATTTGTCTCCCCATGTTTGGCTTCTGCCTGCTGATCAACATTGCCAACAGGAACTTGTTGCGATTCATAAAGGCACACGCGTGAACCACGTTCAGGCGGAACCAAACACTCTGCTACTGCTAATAATGGGATACAGCTTCCTCACATCTCCCTGGGTGCACGTGCCCATTACCAGCAATATGCTTCCCTCTGCTGTCAGCAGCTGGAATCTTGTGTTTATAGTTTTCAGATGTGCTCCATTCTAAATAAATAAATAAATAATCTGCCCAGAATTTACAAGGCCAAGTTTTATTTGTTGTAGAGGATCAGCCTTCCACCAACCTGTGGCAGGCAAAGTCAGCCAACGCAGAAACAAAATGGTAAGTTTTGTAAGAAGATGGTCTTGATGCTGCTGTGACTTTATCGTGACCATGTAGATAACTTATACTTGCAGTAAGACTTGTATTAAGAAAAAAATTTAAAATAAGAAAAATTGTCATAAGGTTTTATGCCACTCCTTCTGCAAACCAAGAAATCCCCCACAGATACGGAGGAGGAGTGTGGGGCTGCCCCGGGGATGGAACAGTCACCGGTTACTCACGGTGCTCAGGGCCATGCGAAGCCTGTTGCTGCCCAGCGGTGGCAGAGTTCATACAGATATTTATCCACTCATTTATCCATTTTGGGACACATTTCTCACACATCAGCAGGGAAGGTGATGCAATCAGTGCCTTTACACACTTTTTAATTTATCCACTAGTCTGCAAGAATTTAATTTAAAAGGCGGTTGGAGGGAAGGGGCAGCAGCAGTACCCAACCCATCCTCAAGGATCCTTTGGAATAAAAGGCTGGAAGCAGAGGGGCACCATTTGGTGTGATCCTGTAAGGCAGCAGGTGACTGTAATGCAAAACTTTCTTGTTTTAAGGCTCATGAATGCAGCAGCTCAATCTACATTTTGTGAAAATCTTAGTACTGAACCACAATTTCATCCTGCCCATACGCTCTAAGTAACTGAACACGAAATTGAGCTTTTAAAATTCTTCCCAAATTAAAAATACATCTGTTCACTTTCAGAAAAAGGAGTCTGGAGAGCAGAGTGGGTGGAAGCAAAAGAAAAGCTCTAGAAAACTGTCAGACACAGCGAGATGTACTAATCCTTGGCTGTAACTAATACAGCTGCGCTTTGAAGCTGGACGTGAGCAGAAGAGCTGGGGAAGAGGCACAGCTGAAGTCTGGGGGAGTGGAGATGGGAGACCCGACAGAGCCGGGGCTCCAGGAGTTTACAAACCAAGTTGGGAGACATCCGAGCTCTGCGTTATCACTGTTAGATGACAGCTACACAAGACTGGACTGGAAGAATCAAGCCCAAATCCGAGAGCACTCAGATGAAGCGCATCATGTGCCTTTCCTAGAAAGCCTTTCCTTGCCATGCACAGCACAAAGCAAATAAACATATTTTTAAATTGCCATAGGCTCAGAGAAACCCTGACCCTCCAGCTACAGGGAAGGGATAAATCCCAGGTCTTGGTGTGGCCTTTTGAGTCTGTAAGTTCTGTGTTTTGCGTGGATGTGGGATAATGTCGCTGTACCAGAAACGTGTCTGCGGGGGCAGGAAAAGAGACGCATTTAACAGATGTCCTTGTTATTTTACATCATTTCAGAGTTGCAATGCTTTGGTACTTATTTCTGAGCAACCCTGAGCCCTGTAACACCGCAACAGCGGCACCAAGAGGTCTCTCAACAGTGCGGTTTTGTTGCAGCAGCACCGGATCAGCCGCACTGCTTTCTGTCTCCACCGACTGCTCTCTCACAATGCTGCCCGAGCTCTGTCGTTTCACTGGAGGCCGTCCTCACAGCAGCTACTCATGACGGAAGCTTAAAGGACACTGAGTTGCCTCCTCAAAGCTGTGATGAGCCCAGAAAACCAGGCACAGGCAAAAACCATAAATCCACCAAACCCTGATCTCACTGGTGGTTTCAGAGGAGCAGTAGCTTAGTTCTGCGTTTTGGAGAGGTGAACGCTCTGGCTGCTACGCCTCACATGTTTCATCATGAACAGGAACTTCCAAGACACCCACCCAACGGAGGCAGATTGTCTGGCTGCTCCCAGGGACGGCAGGACCCTGGCAGGGAGGTGGGAGGAAGAGCTGACCTGCTCCGTGCGTGCCTGCTCTGCTGATGTACCCGAAAAAAATGGAAACAGAGGAGGAAACTTACTTTCTTTTTCAGCTGTGGGCTGGAGGGAGTAGAGAACCCCTTGTTGGAAGGTAAGAGGAAGGCTCGGGGCGGCTGGTGGCCCTGGAGGACCCGGGGGACCTGGGATCCCGGTTTCTCCTGGAAGTCCTCTAGGTCCTTGAGGTCCCAACAGCCCTGTGCAGAGGCAGGAGAGGATGTGTTAGTGCATTTGAAGATGTGCTAATGGATGCTACCATGTAAAAAAAAAAAAAAAAGCAGTAAGAAGACAAAGGATTTCTGTCCTGAACTGTAACTGTGGGAATTAGCGGGGAGGGGACAGGAACAGCTTCGCAGTTCTCCATTATTTGCCTTTAGCAGCTTCCTCTGCAAGCAGATAGCCTTGCTTGGCTCAAAGGTGCTGCAAAGCTTAATTCCTCAAAGAGTAAAATCTGTCCCCTCCCAGAGGCTGAGCAAGAGCCTAAAGGCAGCAAGATGTGAGAACAAGTGCTGCTCTTTCTCTTCCCCTCCCCGTACACCTGTATGTCACCGTACTGCCAGGAAAGCACAGAAAGAGCAACGGAAACCCAGTCTGCCCAGCAGCAGACTGAATCCGCTTCCTGTGGGGCTGGAAGGCTCTCATTGGAAACGGAGAAACCAAACAGCAGACACATCCTTGGCCAGACTTTAGCCATTGAGAGGTTGCCAGAAAACCTCAAAAAAAGCGTTCAGGGCCGCTCTCACATCTAAGACATGCTCCGAGTTTCAAATCTCTCCTGAGCTCAGATTTACAAGGCACAGCCTTTTAGATGCATACAAAGCACAGAGCCTGAGGTCTGGCACCTATTGTGTAGTATCACTTTTATCAAAAGATTTAGGAACATTTTGGGGATGAAGAAAGTCTCTTAGCTCATGAATGGAGTGCACTCTGAAAGCATGGCCTCGTAACCTGTTCCCTTAACATACAAAAGCACCATCAGTTTGACATCCTGGCATCTGACCGTTTGACACAAATGGTGGAGAAAAAAGGGAGTTAAAACAGGCACACAGCAAGAGGGGTAAACTGGGAATGCTTTTCTCCGAAGGCTGACAGATCAGGGCTGTTTTTTACAGCTCCCGAGCTGGATGGGGAAACATGATCACAGGAAATCCCAGGGACCGCCACTGCTTGTGTGTCTCGTTGCCCACTCTGAGGGCTGCTGGCTGATTTCAGAGCCCAGGGGACTCGCAGGAATGGATGCAACACCAGCTGAAGATGCTCAACATCTTGTGTGTCCAGGCTTTTTATCATCTGTTGTCCCAGATAATTTGCACAAAGTGAAATATCTCCTATCATGTAGCACTGCCCTCCTCCAGGACTTACCTGGTGGCCCTGCTGGGCCCCTCTCACCGGGTTGTCCCTTCTCTCCTTTTGGCCCTGGTGGTCCTGGAAGACCAGTTGGTCCAACTGGGCCTGGAGGACCAACCTGTCCTGGCAGCCCTGAAAGCATTCAGAAAAGAAATTAGTTGGAGATAAGGACACTGCTGAGGTCCAAAGGTCTTTAGCAACCTAGAAGCCAGAGGGGAGGGATGCAAAGACGCAGCGGGGACAAATGCAGCTTTGCACAGACCGTGCAGATGGGGTGGTACACTAGCAAGAGCTGGCCACTATCTAGGGCAGAAGAGCCAGACTGGACCTTGCTTCTCCTTTTCTTCCTCCAATCTTTAAAGAAACAAGTGTGTCCCTAAGCACAAGGGTGACCCCCGAAAGTCGCTGGGATGTGCTGGTCAAAGCCCAACTGACCCACACTGTCCCCTTCCCAAGGTCTGAATGGCCCTGGGCAGGGTCTGGCGGGTCCCTCAAGCACTCCTTTGCTAGCTTCCCCCAGACATGCCTGTCAGCTCTCTGCTCGTCCCAATGTATCAAAATACACAAATAATTCACAACAGCAGATCAAACCCCGTCTCCCACTTGCTCTGGCTGATAGACACACACCACCCAGCGATTCTACATCAAAGCTGTCTCCCTGTTTTCTCCTGTTTTCATTCATCTAACAAGTGTACCATGCTGTGCACAAATATTTTTCATCACAGACTAAAATTAGCACACCCACACTTCTGAACTAACTGGATGTTACTGATTTATATCAATGAGCAGGGTACTGAGCAAACCCGTTTGGCAATACCAGTAACACAATCATTACGGCCCAGGGGGATGCTTCTTGGCAAGTCCCCTCAGACCCCTAGCAAGCCTGCAAAAGGTGCAGGCAGCATCTGTAATCTGGAAGTGACTATTCCTGACAACATTAAATAAAATCATAATTTTATTGTTGTTTCCTTTAGACTATCAAAATAATAACACTTGGCAATTCTGCAGCGCTTTTCAGAACAGAACTGTGCATCTTTGGCTCACAAAAGTAGTAGCTGCTTTGGAAAGATACGCTTAAATACTGTGCAAACATCAGTAAAGCCTTTAATACCTTCGAGAGGTGGGCGAGTTATTCTGTCCGCTCAGTTTAAGTGGTTAATAGCTGCAATAAAGGCATCAGCTGTCAGAGCCAGGGGATGTGGAGGTTCCTGGTTTCTGGGCTACCAAAGGGCTCTGATTATTTGAAAGCCGTGGCAGATGCAAGCTACACCGCCAGAGGAAAATTTGTCCGAGTCCAAAGTTCAGTGCACTCCAGATGTCAAGGTTTAGTCTGTATGACCGTAACCCAGCAGAGTGCAAGTTAAGTTTTTACAAACTTTTAAGCAGTGTCCTTCCCCTTCTCTGGTATCAGAAGAGACCCTCCAAGAGCAGCGCCAGGAGAACCTGCTGCGTGCAGTGGGCAGAGAGGAACGGACAGGAATAGAGGGAGAGAAGGGAACCGAGCTGGCCAGCAAACACCTTCACGGCGGTACCAAAGGGAACAGGGCTACATAATAAAAAACAAGGCTCACAGGATTTGCTGCTCCCACATTTGAATCCGGTTCCCACTCTAGGTGTGGGACAGTCCACCTGGGGCACAAAAAATTGTCCCCCCAGACATTCATCCAAACTCTCTGCATTTCTCAGAACAAGCAATAATCTCCCAATATTGGACCCCCTTCAAAGATTCCCCCTCCTCTCCTTTTTTTTTTTTTGCCATTCTGGAGAGATGTTGAAATTATTTTTTTCTTACAAAAATGAATCTATCCGTCCATGGTGGAACTGGGCAGACTGAAGAACGAGATTTTTCAAAGGCTTTGTACAGGAGTGTGTGCCTGTATGTTTGTTTTATTCAGTCACCAATAAAGGTCTGATTTGAGTATTGAACAAGGAATTAAGGTAAGGTTTTAATTTGGATAAATTTGCTTACCCACAGGACACAAACTGCAGACTCTTCTGCAGAGGGGCTCCTCCAATGGATCTCACCTGACAGCGGATGCTGCACTGGGCAAGCTCCGGCAGGTGACCAAGAGAACATTTAAGACAACAAGAGCAGTTGGGTCAGGGCATTGCAAACATCTTCTCCACCCTACCAAAAACTGCCAACACATCTGAAACTTTATTGCAGAGAATTCTTTGCAGCAGAGAGGGAAGAACAGCAGAAACACTTTTGCAAGCACAACACGCTGTGCTGCTGAGTGTGGGTCAAAACATTTCTCTGCTTGTATAAATCGGCCTCAATCCTTCAGTTCAACCCCTATAACTCAGTCCTGTGAACTTCTGCAGACGAAGAGCAATCATTTGCTGCTGGCATCCTCAATCACGCTGCTGCAGCAGAGCTTTAAAGTAACTGGCACTTACTCCCCTGAAGGTGGAAAGCGCTAAAGGAAAGACTAGGAGAAGCAGCGCTGAGTAATGTGTCAGGCAAATGCTCATACTGGTGACAAATGGTGTTACCAGCACAAAAGAGACAAGTGCAAAAGGGAGAAGAAACAGGGAAGGATTCAGGGAAAATGGGGGAGGGAAATGAATAGGCCAAATCTTCAGCTGGCATAAATCAGCTCTGGGGCAGTGGCACTGCTTTCAGAGAGCTGGAGCCCATAGCAAGTATTTATCCTCCAAAAATATGAAAGAAAAAAAAAAGGCAGAGGGCAAGTATTCTACTTCTGGAGGCCAAACCAGACGTGCAGAGACCTGGATTTTCTTCCTGGCCCTGTCATTAACCTGCAGCACACCAGCTGTTCCCTTTCCTTCCCCCAGGTTTTCTCTGTACAGGTGCTCTCTGTTGGTATGAGCTTTGCAAAACAACACCCAGAACGTGAGCAGCAGCTCCCGGTGCCACCGGCAGGCAGCACCAACAGGATAATAACGATGTTTTGCTGCATCACTCAGCACACGGCTGGCTCGCTCTTGCCACGTGTCCTCCAGCAAACTGCCTTCCCGTGGGGCAGCGCTTTCTGTCCTTCGTGTGCAGGGGGAACTGGACATCTCAAAGATGCTAAAGTTGGCATTTCACCTGGCCAGAGCAGCCCATGGGCAGATAAAACCCAAAGAAGAAACCCAGCCTCTCTGCATCCGTGAGGCTCCAAATCACTGAGGACTCCTGGCCACAGGACATTCCATGTACAGGACTTGACACAGCAACATTTCATGCTTTAAAAGGGGAAATAGCAGAAACCACTGACTTACCCTGGGGTATTAGCTGCTCCTCTGCGCCTCTGTGTCCTTTAGGCTCTAGTTAAGAGGATCAGGGTAAAAAAAAAAAAAAAGAAAAGAAAAAAATATGAAAAATTAGGTCCCTCGCTGCCAACTGGCCCAGCCAGAGTATATATATTTTCTTAATCCTCAGTAAAATGTATCCTGTTGATTAACAAGCTGATCAGAAAGGCCAGCGGTGCAGCTGTCTCAACAGCTCTGATTGCTTTTAAATGATTGGCTGCTCTCAGCCCTGTCACTCACTGAAGAAATAACTAACCTAATAAACAGTAGCGAGCTTTCCTGGACTTCAGCCTGGAGAGGTGTCAGCCAGCCCAGAGCTCCAAGGTCAGCCAGAAACACTCCCACCATTCACAGCATCCAGCCCATAGCACCCATCTTGGTGTTAGGCACCAACATTCTGCTCTCAGTCCACCCGGCTGAGAAACTTGGTGGCACGCAAGCTAGGATCTGGATTTGCTTTGGCTGAAAAAATAGAAGCAGGGCAAAGTAGGCAATATTTCACAAAAAACTCTGGGGAAGGGGATGGGAGGGATGGAGGCTTAGCTTTCCACAACCCCAAACCACACAGGACACTCAGGTTTGATTTCCACCTACTCTAATATCGCGCTTGTTGAAAGATCTCCTGAGGTCCGCAATCTCTGTAAGTGAACTTGGGGTCAGCTTCGAGCAACGAGTCACAGCACGGTGTTGAAATCATGCAAAATGGGCAGTCCCCCGCCGTCCTAAACCAACTGCGTGAAACTACCCACATTTCACCAAAATCCGCAGTGCATACTTTTGGGTGGCTTTGAATTGTAGATAGAAAGTGGTGTGGGCAGGGAAGGAAGCCAAATGTGGACCCAGACCCATGAAACATCCCCGCAGCTCCTCAGCAAAGCAAGCATTTGAAGCCCACAGAGGCTGGGTAGAGGTTTGAGAAGAATAAATAAGCAACTTAACTGATTACTTTTAATTGCTGAAAGACACCGTCCTGACCTGAAACGCTCCAGTGCACGCCTGATTCCCAGTTATTACGCTAGAGTTGCTATTCCACGCTAGGTTAAATAAATCAAGGCTAGAAAAATAAAGGGTAGCAGTGAGCAAGGACTATACCTGGGAGCGTGCAGGCAGGGCTGCAATGGGTGCAGCCGGCTGTGCGCACAGCCTGGCAGTCTGGCTGGCTAAGACAGGCTCACGTACAGCTCGGACAACATCACTTGTTTCTTAGAGATGATCACTAGCTACCTCCTGGATTTACTGGGGGCAGAGGGTATGGGCACTGGACCATGGAGTCAGCCTGATGCAAGTGCTACAGGGGATCTGGCGGGTTTTCCAGCACAGCCAGAGGTCTGGGAGAGCAGCATTCACTGCTCCTTGCTGAGAGAGAGGAGATGATAGCGTACAGAGCCTCCGAGAGGAGAGGACTTTGAGTGGAAGGGACAGAGTCACCAGTACTTTTGCTGGATTGACTTTAGTTCAGCAAAGTGCAGGTGCAGGGATACTGCAACAGCAAAAATAAATGACATGGAGAAGGCAGAATGAGCACATAATGGACACTGGGGGAAACAGCTTTAATTCAGTTCCTGGCAGCCAGCACTGTGGTTCTGAAAACACTTTGCAGAACATATTGTTAGTGAACCTCCCCCCATGTTGTGGCATCCTGTCAAATTATAAACATGGACAACATCTGGTCTATGTTGGTTGCTCCAAGTCTGCTGCAGTCATGAAGGGCTGCCATAATAAACTGCTAAGACCCAAAAAAAAAAAGAAAAAAAAAAAAGAAAAAAAGAAAAAAAAAGTAGGCCCTATAGACGATAAAGAACCAAAGAACTGCTCTGGGAGCAAGCAAAGCAACTGACAGGGCTTTGGAAGTAGAGCATGGGGATCTTGAAAGGAGAATGCCAAGGTTAAGGAAATTCAATGTGCGGGGGTCTGTCTAGCCAAGTGGGCTCAGAGGGAGATTTTCTTGTAAGTGTATTTTTTTTTCATGCCACAAGAGGGATCATAAAACAGCCCATTGTGTTTATGGTAAATTTAAAAAGTATAATGTAGAGTGCAACTGATGTTGCTCTTTATGGGAAAGTTTTTCCTCCTAATAAAACCAAGAATTACCCCTGCCCCGGTCCTCTACCAGGGAGGGAAACACCGCATTCGGCACTGGGTAGGCGAGCAGGCATTGTCCCCTGTGACCCCCATGGCTCTCTGGAGTTTCCTCAGGAATGTTTCAACCTATCCAGGCCTCAAAATCCAGTCTTTGGACTTAAAACACGTACACTGAGCACACAGGCAGGCACAGCGGCCCTGCTGAGGTTACAGAAATGACACTCTCCAGAGACCAGAATGCGGCAAAAGTGTGTCAGTCTCTGAGCTTAGCTGCTTTCTTCCAGGAGCACGTCTGCTCTGCGCTGGCTGAACTCGAGGAGGGGCAGAGACACGGGGGAAAAGCTGGACGTCCCTCTCCATGTGAGGGGTGATCCTCGCTCCTCCACGGGCAGTGGGAAGGGGCCCTGAGGAAACCGTGCCCAGCTTGCTGCAGCTGAAAGGATGGGTCAGGGCGGGATCAGACAGGACTGGATTCCTCCCTTGTCCATGAGTCCACACAGGCATCAGCGTGCGACCGCCCCTGTGTTCACAGCTCGGCAGAGGGAGAGACACGACACCATGAAACCCTGGAGACTGCACAGCCCCTGGTTTGGAGCAAGCCTGGCTCTAAAGCTGAACCCAGCTGATTCTAACCCCAAGAGAGACTGAAAGCTCTCTGCATGCCTCTCCGCAGAATGGTTTTCCTGATGAGCACAATCCCATCCTGCAGTGAGCATCTGCAAAAACCGAAGCTGTGGTGTCCCTGCTGAGGGTGCCAAGAGCAGACAGGGAGCCACCCGTGCCAGCAGGGCTGCCTGCCCGCGCTCGTCACACAGCACCGCACGGCCGGAGCACGGCCAGTCCCATCGATGGCTCCCCGCAGGATCAAACACATGGCAGCAAACGTGCCCACAAAAAAAAAAAGGAAAAAATAAAATAAAGCCCATCTGAAAATCTTCTCCTTTCTGGAGCAGACAGAAGGAATTGCCAGCATTTCCCTCCAGCCTCTCTCCCCTGCAGCTTCCAGTACTGCAGCAGACGGTCACAGCCCCCGTGTCAGATACCCTGCAGCAATCGTCTGTGTAACGTGGGCGATTTGGCAAAGAGCAGGTTACGCTTACCGACAGGTCCCACTGTTTTCCTCAGGACAGTCCCGGGATTGAGCAGGGGAAAGGCATCCGGTAGCAGATCGTCATACCACGTGGCTGTCGTCCCAGTGATGGGCAGGTTGTTTTCCAACGGTGGGCTTCGCTCCGCAGCCTCGAGCAGAAGGATCTAGGCAGGGGACATGGGGAAGGCAAACAAGGTCAGTGGGATGGTTTCATATGTGGTCTCAGTCCTGAGAGGTCTTGAAACTCCTCTCATGCCAGCAGGAGCCATGGATAACCACATCACAGACCGCAGGGTTTTGGTGTTAAAGCTCTATCGGTTTCCTGGAAAGTGGCAGTCATTAGTTTAGGAAATTCCTGTGTTAAGCTGCAAGAGGGTCCTGCACAGTGCTGCACATCACTGCCTGCAGAGAGACTGTCTCCCTGGTGAGAAATGTGAAGCCAGGGACTAGAGCTGGTGTTAGCACACAGCATTTCACTGCTGGGTTCGTGTTCAAATCCAGAGTAATCGGGCCAGAAATTACTGAGAGCTGGTATGAGGTGAAGGGCGGCAGGATGCCCGGGGTAGCAAAGTGAGCTGCCTCGGGCCAAGTCCTGCTTGCAAGTCAAAGTACAAATGCTGATCAAATTAAAGAAGAATGAGAATATGAGGCTTTTAAACAGCTGAAGTGCTTTAATTCTGGAGCGAATCAAAAAAGGCAGGCAATTTCCTCAAAGAGCTCTACTTAGAAGTGATAGGATATTACTAAAACTCACAACTGTTTCCATACCTTGTAAACACACTACCTTCAAACAAATCCACGCCCCGATGTGCTGTTCAGGCCATTTACAACCTGAGCTCCTTGGCAAAGTGACCCCATTTTCCCGGTGTGGTTTAGACCACTGCTCATCGGGCTGTGCTCCCCCGGCCACTGGTGGTCCGTAACTGCAAGTTTGTCTTTGACATGGCTCCAAAAAACCTGAACGCCCGCACGAAGCAGAGGGATGGAGGACCCTGGTGGACTCTGCCTGCTGACAAACTCCATTAAAGTGAAGCCCATGGGAACATTTATTGCCCTGTATAATCAACATTTTTAATTAAGGTTTTCAAAAAATTAGAATTTTAAAAATTTTTTTTCTGTTTCAATCGAAATGCTTCATGCCCTGCCTTCCCAGCCACTAAGCAAAGGTGGCATAATGAAGGAGTCTGCAGATTTCTTTTGAAAAAGCCGAACCCATAGGGAGCACTGACCCAGAGTGCCAAGCCCACGTGCTCCGCTGCACATGGATTTTACCCCAACTGCAAGACAGAAGCTAAAGAGAGGCCAAGGGCAGCACCCGCTTACCCAGGGGGGCAGCCAAAGCGCCGGCAGCGCCCGCATCAGCCGTGCCTGGGGTGCGGCAGGG